ATTATATCAATAGCTGCTTCACCTTCACTCGCTTCATCACATCTTGGGAATCGATTTGAAAAGTTATCATGAAGAAATTTATATGCACGATTACTCACTACGACTTTAACATGATGTTGTTCCTGCATAAGTATTTCAAGTGTAACTTTGGATCGTGTTGCATGTCCCATTCCCTCGCCGACGATGCCATAAAGAATACGCATCGTCTTAGATTTTGAAGATGCAATAAAAGGTAAAATTGCTGCATGAACAATACGATCGGCTTCTTCTACTATAGTTTGAATATTATTATTGTCACGAAGGATAATAGAACTAATCTTGATATTTGTATTACGAAATTCTGTGTAAAATTTATCCATAAATATACCAAATTCAAATCTTGTAGAATAATGATGCAATAATTTAGTACATGATTTCACGTCAGAATCATAGTCATTCATTTCATCATATACATTAATTATACAGGTAGAAGGAGATTTCTGAAGCAATGGTATAAATGCCTGTGATACAGTCAATATATCAAAAGATTCTCTTGTTTCAAATCCTTCACATAACATGGTATTTATTTTAAATTGATTATTATTCAGTAATATTCCAACATTAATTAACATATCTAGTTTTCCGAACTGTTCATCGATTTTTCCAATTACTTCGTCAATCGTTTTAAGATCGACTGTATTAAGTATAATAAATTTAGGTTCAATATCTTCATCGTTCAATTTCTTTATTATTCGTTCAAATTTATTTTCATTGTTGGAACAAAATATTACATATATACCTTTTTTTCCTAACTGATAAACTATTTCATCTTCTAATTCATCACCTGTACCAATAATTAAAGCAACAAGCAGTGACATTTTGATAATTCAAGTAATCTAAAATTAAGCATCATATATTGTATAATACTATAATAAATTGTCTCTTCTCTGTTTTAGAGAATTCTTTTGAGAAGGAATAACTGTAAAAATTAGTTTCTGTGGTTTATTTTACACATATAAAAAATACATGTTTTAATTCTAAATCTTTTATGTGTATCGGGTGATAAAATGAAATTTATCTCATCTTCTCTCTGGAAATAGAAAGCTTTTCAAAAAGAGACATCGATTATATGCAACGAAAATTTGTCATTACGTTTTGATTTTCAGACAATTGAGTTTTAGTAGCAATTCTATGGTTATAAAAGTACGAGTAATCTTATTGTGATAAAATCATGATAAAGAATGAAAAAGAAACGAACGAATAGATGACTGAAAAAAAATTCTTACAAACAAAGGCTAATAAATTTTTCTCAAGCACAAAACTTGTTTTGATCAGGTGCATAGTGATATGTAGAGTACATCTCGCATGTCTACTTTATGTTTTTCGAACTTCCTTATTATCTATTTTGGGTGTGCTACGAGAAGAACTCATTCGAACAGTGCAAGATCGATAGAAATAGTAAAGTGATGATTACTGTTAAATAATACTCAAGTAGGACCGGAATCGAAAATCGATCGATGAATAACCTAGCAATGAATCTAAACGAAAACAAGAAACTGAATGAAAATGCGAGGAGAGCGCATTTTTAGTTCTTTTTTGTCGCAGTGACTACTGATGCATGAATCGCTCACTATTCATTTTGACGAAGAAATAAGTAAACAACCAAACAGAAGCACAAGAAGCCATATTTTTCTCTCATCGTGCATAGAGTGAATGTTACCTGTAGTTAATAGATGAAGCAAAAAGAAAAGGAAGATGCATTAGTCATCTCTCTCACGCCAACGAAACATATGTCGTCAGTCTAATACGAGCGCTGTTAGCAGGACGATTTTTCTGTTTCACTCTATATCTAAGGATCGTCTATTGATATTGCCTTATGTCTAAAGACAGATAATTGGAGAAGAGTGTAGACGTAGGTATGTGATATTTCTATCTATACTCACACCCACACCCTTATGAGAGAAATAATTATTTCATTTAATTCATTGTTTAGATTATAGTCATCTTGATTAGAATTATCTTAATTATAGAAATGAATTAGACCAATCTTTATTCTAGAATTAGACCAATTTTTGTGATTCTAGGTTGCTGTCAATAGAAACAACGAAAACAGAAGATAATTACTATTCCATAAATTGAAAATTGAAAGACAAATTATCGAAACTATTCGTTTTGAAACATGTGTGATAAATAATCAGTCACAAATGCCTGTTTTGGTTTCCTATTCTTACTCACCTGAATCGATAGAAAACTCCTATATCTATTCAATTTAATTATAAAAGAAATATATAGTTTTTATTTCAACTGTTTAGCTTCGAACCCAACGTAATACGAGAACATCACACCAAGTATTCCCAAAACCCATACTAAAATTTCAAAGAACACGCATCTCATCGAGCATAAAGTCACGTTTTCATTTAGACACAAATTCGTTCTGTATTTGTTGATCTGTACCTATACTACACAAACTTTATAAATATACATGCAGTTACGCTTCGAAAAAATACATCAGAATGCGTTCACTTCTTGCGTTTTCGATGCATTTGTATAACAAATAAAATATGTTTACACAGGAGCCACCTAACTATTAAAGTTCTCGAAATGCACGTTCAAAAGACACAGTAGCTGACGCTTCTACATGCGTTTTTGGCATATTTTGATAGCAAATGCGTTGGAGCGTCAATATTTTCAACAAAAAAAGCATCTAGACGCATCTAAAACGGTTAACTTGCTGATATAGTTAATAATAAATGCAACCATTCGTGAAAAAAAGTTTACATTACTCATGTGTAGTCATCGGTTCTATTGAGGTTAGACACAGTTGTAACCGCAGAAATTATGTCTAATGTGCGTTTTCTTGTGGTGTTCGAAGGACGATATGGAAAAATAATCTCAAAATATAAAGAGAATTACATGGTACCTTCCGTTATACTATATAAATGACCAACACAAAAACAAACTTCTGTTATATGTTAGCTGATCCAGAAAATAAAAGTAAGTTTGCAACTGAAAGATAATACATGGATAATATAATAAACTGTAGAGTTCTGTCTTAGTTGAAGTTATGAAATTCGCAGCTAACTCAAATCTGAAATTGTGATTACATTTTCTTTCTCAAATCAATCATTTTATTATATATTAAAATGTCTTAGAGGATGTTCTACTAATACGATCTTTTTATGAAACGATCCTCTATTTAAGTTCATATAATGAAAAGTTGATGATTTTCTCTCTACGATTGACCAATATATATCAGAGACCGGCAGGACGATCAGAAACTGTCCCGACTAATCCCACGGTAATTTTATCACCAAAAGTAGACATAGATGATCGAGAAGAAAGCGAAAACTGTTGGATGTGAATGAGTAAGTCTGGCAAGAAACAAATTTGTCAATAGGTCCTGGAGGACCACCATTAGAATCAATAAGTACCGAAAATCCAAATACTTGCCAACAGGCAGATGTCAGTTTTCTATTTGTATTGTTTATAAGGACAAAACGATCTTTCTTTTTCTTGAGCAGATTTTCAATCTGTACACAAGAATAAACTGTATGACTTGAAGTACGAATGAGTGTTGATGGTGTTGAAGTAGGAGAAGCGAGATCAACTCTCCATGTAGACGAAATAATACGATAGCATGGAGAATAGCTACGACCATCGACTTTTCTCAGCGTAGAATTCATGTGTAAAGACGAATTGAAATGAACAACTTTCGAAAATAATAATTGTGACGAAATGAAACAGAATAAACAAATGTATACATGCCTAACTTTATTCTATTTTCTATGTTAGACGAATTATATTATGATTGTTATCTCATTCTTCGGTCATCATTCAATTCAAATTGGCCATCAATATTGTTCTTTTTCTGTCTCAATGTCTGTTCACACAATAGTCGACTGCTTTGATAACCATTCTTCTACTCTTGTGACATAAAATCGATCGCTATCGTGATACACAAAATGGACAGTCATTTTTGTGTTTTATTCCATTAACGAAAGTAAGTGGAAGAAGCACTGAATCCCGCCTTTCCCACATCCCGCGACCTTTTGTACCGTGTCCCGCCGGTCTCTATTTTTTACACATTATATTTACAGAGTCACCTAATTATTTAAGTAAAGATGATAATATCAATATAAAATTTATATTGAATACACATCCTTCATTTTCATCCACTCCATTTATTACTTTCACATAGCCATTCGTCAGAATTGAATGTGAATCAGTGACACAGAATTTGATATTTCAAATGTAAATATTCTGTTCATTGTGCATAGGTAAGAGAACGATCGAACGTTATTTCACGTGTTTGCCTTGAAAACAAATTTCTTTCAATCGGTATCATCGTTATGAAACAAATAAAAAGACCAAAAAAATGATATTATTGAAAAATATAATGGAAATAAAAAACAAAAATTACAAGATCAAAATAGTAATACAAACAAGTTAGTAATATAAAATTTATTTTATCATCTAGTACTTTTCATTTATTTCGTTTAGAACACTTTTTGAAAATTTATCAAATGAAATTATCCATGAAATATTTGACTATCTTGGTATCTATCATGTTTATCATGAATTCTTTAATCTTAATCAATGATTTAACAACTTTTTTATTAATTCAAATCTTCCTATTCAAATTGATATTTCATCAATGTCAAAATCAAATTTTGAACAATATCATAAAAATATTATTCTACCAAATAAACATCGAATAAACTATCTTCGTTTATCAAATGCATTTACAGTTGATATTATTTTCTCACCACCACGTCTTATTTCAAAATTTCTTCAACTTGAAACATTAGTTTTTGATAATATCAATGCAAGATATCTTAATAATATTCTTCATCATCTAATTATTTTACCACATTTACATTCATTAACTATTAATCTAATTGATTATATTCAAAATTCAACTCTTTTTTATCTTCAATTATTTCGTTTATCTAAATTAAAATATTGTAAAATTCAATTTGAATCAAAAGATGATGAACAATTATTACCTCGATGTACAAATGAATTTAGTTCAATTGAATATCTTGTAATTAAAAATTGTTTTCGATTTCAATTATTAAATAATTTCTTATCTTATTTGTCTCGACTTTGTTATTTATAAGTTGATTATCTTAATGGAATTGATTTCAAAGATATAGAATTATATCCATTGTTATTAGAATATTTAAAATATGTTTCACTTGAACTTGATTTAGTTTATTTTAATCGATTTGAACAATTAATTAAAAATTTCTTTTATCATGTCGAAATTTTACATTTTACATCAAAATATTATTCTAGATATTTAGATGCAGAACTATGGGAAAAATTAATTACATCTTATATGCCATATTTACGTATTTTTGATATTAATCATGATGGTTCTATACAACATAATCTTTCAAGATATCATAATTGGATAAATCAATTTAATTCTTCATTTTGGACTGAAAAACAATGGTTTTTTACACATCAACATGATTGTCAAGATACTATTGGAAGTGGAATCTTTTATTCAACAAATCCATATCGGTAAAAAACACATTAATTTGTTTCTATTATATTGTCTGTGTTATCTTTTGTTTTTGTAGAAGAAAAGAGAATACATTTTTTTGGAAATTAGATAAAAAATTTTGTTCAGATTATCAACAAACAAATTTTAGTTCTGTTAAACATGTTCGTGTTTCTGGTTTAGTAGCATCTAAGACTTCTGTAAATTATTTTTCTAATGCTACTCAATTGACTATTAAACATGATTTAGAAACACTTCCTCATTCAATTTCAACAGTTCTCATACGGTGGGAAAATTTTGTTATTATTAAATAATTTCTTTTAGTAAATTTTAATCTTAATGAAAAGTTTGCTCAATTAAATGATTAGTGGTCAACAATGAAGGGTATGGGTATGGGCGTGCCATAAACGAAGAAAAACATCTTACCTCAGTCCGACCGTTACCCATACGTCCCATGGCGTAATTTTTTGCGAAAAAAACGCGTTTTTCCATAGCTGCAAAACGCGTTAATGCTGACCGGTTTAACGCGTTTCACATTTGCTAAAATAAACGTTGCGAAACGATTTTTTGTTAAAATCATTTCGCAGTGTTTCTGAATCTGTGGTATTGCATACTTTGAAGGATAGAGAAAAACAAAACCCGTCAAGTACTTCGTAGAACTCAACTTGCAGGTACGATCTATATACTGGTTTACATTAATTCATAGAATTATAGAGTTAACTTACATTAGTTTCGATAAAGTTAAGAGGTGGATTCGAACAGGAGAACATAAGAGTAGAAGATATGTATACAAACCGTTCAACTAAAATAGTCAAATGATATAAGTGTTTGCTCTATTCTTATTTAGATGTCTTGTACAAATTTATGATTCGAATAAATTTTGTTTCACGTCTGGATGAATCGATGAAAAACGGTATTCTTTTTGCTGCTTTTATCCAAGGAAGAGTGTCATTTTCCGTCAATTTATTTTAAATTTAACTTTTAGAAATTAAAATTTGTAAAACTTTATTTTTTTAAAGTTTAAATACCCAATTAAAATGAATTTAATTCCATGTAAATTGAATTAAAAATTTTAAAAAGATTAAATTTCGTAAATTTAAATTCAAAAGAACTGTAATCTTAATTTTGCAAAATTTGCAAAGTTTTTGTTGAATTGAATGTTTCTTAGTTAATGTAAATCCATCATCAGTAAATCCAAGTGCAATCATAACTACAAAAATATTTTTTCTGTAATTCGAACCTCTTTTATCAACAAGCCGCACTTACATACATCGATAGTGTACGAACGAAAGTGATATTCCACTCATGTTTCGGAGAGTATATAATCAGTTACTATAACGCAGTCCATACATAAATTAACAATAATTATTATTATAAATTGTAAATTATCCGAAAATACTTTTTTCACGCAACAACATTGAGCTGTCCTACGGATTATTTTCGTATCAGTCTTTACTGAATTTCTTCAAATTCTTCAACATTTTACAGAATTCTAGATTCAATGCTACGAAATGCATTTTCTTTGAATGAAAACGTAGTGAAATGAGTTTTCTAACAGAAGATAACTGTAGAATACACTCTGATGTTCAATACTAGCCTATCTTCGAAACAGCCTTAAAAAACGACGTAATTCGTTGAAGTTTTAGAAGAACTCAATTCTGACCTTGGCTAAGGAAGACCTGCGCCGCCATCTTGAGGATCAAAAACAATGCAATCAGCAAATTTTTTGTAAAACCATTTCGCATAATTTCCAAAATCATATCAGAGTTGACTTTTCTTAACTCACATGCTTTTTGAAGATGAATTGGTGCGAGATGCTCTAACAAAAGAGATCAGTTTTGCATCATTCGAAGCGTAACCGATGCAAATGCATTTTAAAAGAACCTGTTTCGCATTTTCTCCGAGTTGTGACTCTGTACAATGCTTTTCTTGTCGACTTAATGAGTTTAACAGCGTTTCATTTGGGAAACGCTTCGAAACGTAATCGCAAAAAGAAGCGTTTCGTATCGTTTCAAAAACTCAAGGCAGCAAAAACGCGTTCTATATAAGTAAAAATATTGTGAAACGCATTCCGTCTTGAAGAAACGCTGCGAAACGCATGCCCCAATCTTGGAAACGCGTTACACAGTGCGTTTCCTTAGATATTTTACGCCATGGGTACTATACTTTCTCGGAAATTAAAATAGCTGGAATCTTGATTTTTTCAGAAGTGAATGATCATCTTTAGGCCAACAAATCAAAGAAAAAATATCAAAATCGATTGAATAGAACTCGACTTATGAGCATTTTTCTTTTCCAGACTACACGGTACAATGAGCGCACTCTTCACTCATATATGTAATAAAAATTTCAACCTTCTACCTAAAGATATGGTATGAAAAATACTATTAACAATTTGTCCCCAGTTACTATGGGACCTCCTTTATGGGTGTGGGTGTGTGATTGTAGTTCCTCTCTTCTATGATACCAACAACCACACTCACACTCACACCCCACACCCATACCCACACCCACACCCACACCCACCCACGCCCAGATATGCCTTGAACTATATAAGTACATTAAAGTACAATAAAGTACGTTAAAGTACTTTAAAGTACGAAGTACGATGTTTCTCCCTTGACCCACACCCACACCCACACCCTAGTTCTGCAATGCTCTTTTTTTTCTTGCAGATTAGCATGGATGAATTTACACCAGATTAGCATTTTCATATAGTCTTTTAAACAAAGAACGGAGTATTAATCAACTGTAAATACTGTTACTGGTAGAGATCTATTTGCCGATGTGCAGACAAGGTTTTGTAAGTCAAAGTTGTAGACATTATCATTGTTTTCCTTATGAAACAGCAAGAAATGCACAAAAACAGTATATCAAATTAGTATCAGATCGGCGATAAACGACAAGTCATATGCTTGAAACCAATGATCTCTATAAATTATGCACAGCAATATGAATAATGTTACCTTGTATAGTACTGGAAAACTTTCTCATGCCATTGTTTATGCATTCCACTTTTTCAAACATGAAATTAAGTATTTTTGTTGAATTCCACGCGAATAAAAGTAAAATAAAATCTCTTCATTTTTGACTTTTCAAGATCATAGAAACAAAATCACACTGTCACAATGCTGTAGCAAATATAGTTCTACTTCAAATTTAAAGTTTGCCAAGCTTTGAACAAGGGTTTCTCTGAGTTATTTGTCTGATGAATGAGGAAATCACTTTTTAATTTCGGAAAAACTCATTTCTACAAAAAAACAATTTTTACAAGATTTCAATTTTATTCTGAAAGCTGTTGTGTTCATTTTGAAGTCCCATAGTCGCAAAGTTCAATCATCTATAAAATGTCAAAATAAAATCGATTCGAACTTGCAGTACCAGAACCACCAAGATCCAAGCAGAATGACACTGTATATTTACTGCCAATTGATGCTGCAAATGACTGAACGAGAAAATCAATACCAGTACTGGCAGTGCAGCCGTCTCGATAGCAATTGCCAGAATAACAATTGCTGCCAGAAGTGATGGTTCCTGAAGATCCAGCACATGTGCTCGTACAATACTGTATCCATCCTGTTAGTGTGGTTGAAGAGTTTTCAAAACCACCATTTTGTAGCAGCTCCGTACTTGTTGCATTAATACTCACCACAGATACTCTGTCCAGATAATAGAGACGATTATTTTCATTCTGAAACCCAAAAAGAAGCATCGGTAATGCACTATTTGCTGTGAAGTTAAATCGATAGATAGTCGCTGAACTGGGACTATTATCAGATAGAGCCAAAGTAGCACCACGACTAGTCGATGAGCAAATCAATCCTGTGAAAATCTAAACAGTTAAAAATCAATATGTATTTATATTAAAATACCTGTTGTTGTAGTAGTTGTTGTTGTGGCCGATGTTGAACTACTGGTAGTCGACGTTGTTGTTACTGTTGTGGATGAAGTGCTGGTAGATGTAGTAGAACTAGTGGTGGATGTGGTTGTTGTTGTTTGTGTAGTCGATGTGGTGCTAGTTGTTGAAGTGGAGCTGGTTGTGCTTGTTGAAGTCGAACTAGTGGTGGATGTGGTTGTTGTTGTTTCTGTAGTCGATGTGGTGCTAGTTGTTGAAGTGGAGCTGGTTGTGCTTGTTGAAGTCGAACTAGTGGTGGATGTAGTTGTTGTTGTTTCTGTAGTCGATGTGGTGCTAGTTGTTGAAGTGGAGCTGGTTGTGCTTGTTGAAGTGGAGCTGGTTGTGCTTGTTGAAGTGGAGCTGGTTGTGCTTGTTGAAGTCGAACTAGTGGTGAATGTGGTTGTTGTTGTTTCTGTAGTCGATGTGGTGCTAGTTGTTGAAGTGGAGCTGGTGGTGCTTGTTGAAGTCGAACTAGTGGTGGATGTGGTTGTTGTTGTTTCTGTAGTCGATGTGGTGCTAGTTGTTGAAGTGGAGCTGGTAGTGGTTGTTGAAGTGGAACTAGTGCTGGTGGTTGTTGTTGTTTCAGAGGTAGTCGATGTGGTGCTAGTTGTTGAAGTGGAGCTGGTTGTGCTTGTTGAAGTCGAACTAGTGGTGGATGTGGTTGTTGTTGTCTCTGTAGTCGATGTGGTGCTAGTTGTTGAAGTGGAGCTGGTTGTGCTTGTTGAAGTGGAGCTGGTAGTGGTTGTTGAAGTAGAACTAGTGCTGGTGGTTGTTGTTGTTTCAGAGGTAGTCGATGTGGTGCTAGTTGTTGAACTGGAGCTGGTGGTGCTTGTTGAAGTCGAACTCGTGGTGGATGTGGTTGTTGTTTCAGAGGTAGTACTAGTGCTTGAAGTACTAGTGGAGGTGGATGTTGTTGTCGTTGTTGTCGATGTTGTGCTAGTTGTTGTTGTGGTACTCGTAGTTGAAGTAGTACCTATGAAGGAAGCTTAGTTATATATGCTTCTTCTCATAATTGCTGTTTCATAACTATCAATGAAATTACTGTACTACGTGGGAAATAATATTTTGATAGGGGGATACCGCTATAATTTCAAATAGAGTAAATAATGAATTTTATACCAAATGAAAGCCCGTCAAAAATGGGGTTTATTGATACTAAATAGTAAGGGTTATGAAAACTTTTTAATATCGAACTTAAGAAACTTTCAGAAATTTTATACTTTTTTTGCGGTGGAAAAGTAAGGTGTCAGTAATTCAAAAATAGAGTAAAATGTTTTTCTTTGATATTTTTACACGGTTCGATAGAGCTCATCGAGCTCTACAAAACTGTATGTATGAAAAATTTTTAACCAGAACTGTTGGGTTAAAAGTCGCTGAAAAACTCCTTAAAGAATGAACCAAAAAACCTGCAGTTTTTACACTTGTTATAGGGGGAAAAGTGATCTTTTTTACACTAAATTCGGCTGTTTTCCATTACTATCCTTATGTAAGGTGTTTGAAAATATACTCATTCGATGCAGTTTTTCATGCTGCATCGAATGAATATATTTTGAAACGTCGGAGGGAGTAAAAATAACCAAAAAAAAGCTAATTTTATTTAAAATTCGAGTATTTTTCTTCCATATCAAAAATATGACTTTTTTAATCGTTTTTTAAGATTTTCCAAATAGTTTTTTCAACTTTTTATCACAAAAAGGTGACTCAGAATATTTTTCATATATACAGTTTTGTAGAGCTTGATGAGCTCTATCGAACCGTGTAAAAATATCAAAGAAAAACATTTTACTCTATTTTTGAATTACTGGCATCTTACTTTTCCACCGCAAAAAAAGTATAAAATTTCTGAAAGTTTCTTAAGTTCGATATTAAAAAGTTTTCATAACCCTTACTATTTAGTATCAATAAGCCCCATTTTTGACGGGCTTTCATTTGGTATAAAATTTATTATTTATTCTATTTGAAATTATAGCGGTACCCCCCTATCAAAATATTATCTCCCACCTGGTATTGGAAAGAAGCGCATTATTTTCGTGATTTTGAAGTGAAATGGGTTGACGGATGAAAGAACTTAGTTGAAGATTCAGCGCTCATAATAGTTGAAAACTTTGACCTCATATTTTGATCGTAATTGGAGAATTTGTAAATCAGAAAAGTCGAAGAAAATATAAACTCATTGCATAATTTGTCTAGGACACAGAAGATTTACTTAATTCTTGCATGTAGAACTTTGATATATCTTGTAAAACTATTTTTTTGAATTCCAATCTGAAATTTTGTCTAAGCCAATAGCGCATAAATGGTTGTTCATAACTGTTGTGCATAACAATTTACCTTTGGAAGCTTGAACAATTACTTCTGCTAAACTCATCCTAGTTTTGTAAGAGAAATTTGAGCATAGTTTCTATATTACAGTCGAACTATCGCATGGAATTTTATTCATTAAGACTTTTTCTTCTATAGATCCACTACTTTCTGACGAAATTTTCGATCTAAGTCTTTGAATTATTTCGGGAGATGTTAACGTCTTTCTGCGAGAGTCGGAAGAGTCTCTGATAAGCCTTAACTTCCCACTTGATAAACGTGATTTGTAGACCAATACTTGGTTTACAATGATTTAAATTTTTATTTTTCGAATCCTCGACTTCGATACTTCTTTCATAATTTTCAGTTCAGATGTTAAACAGTCTAAGCAGTAATATTGAAAAATCAAATGTTTCCGAACTTTCTTCAAGATCTGAAAACTCTTCACTCCGTACCGAATCTGTCGTAACCTATTGATCAATTTAGAACAGCTTTTTTTCTCGTTTGAATAAGTACATTTTCAAAGTATTCTATAAGTTTGGTCCGCATGTTTGCGTCTATCTCTCTTAACATCTTTAGTGAAGTATTCATGAATATTATTAGAACTTCATTTAGTACTTCTAGCTTCATTTTTGAGCAAAAATAATTCGAAAAAGCACTGCTTTAACAATGTTACAATGGATTGAACGTCAGAAAGCATACGTAAACATGTTAAAACACGTAAAATTTTTGTATGTTTACGTGAAAAATTTGATAATTTTTACTGATATCAATGGTAGAAAACACGTAATTAAATTTAAGATAAGATGTATTACAAGTCATCATTGTTAAACGAAAATAAGTCTAATGATGATACAAGAGGAAAACAGTAACGAGTTTTAGTTATTTCATAAATGAATAAATCGCAATAGCTGTATAGAATCAAATGCAACGCAAAGACCTGTTAATTGTCTTCTTGTACATTATTTTTTCGTCTGAAGTATATAAAACTGACTCCTGAGAACTATATATCTTCAATGTCTGTCCAACTTTGAATATTTGAAAAAATAGAGTAAAATTCAACATGTAGTCGAAACATATAGAAGATTTTTTTTAATGCATACTACGTTCATCGCATGTCCAGTAGTGAAATTTTATTCTTGGTATTGTTAGAGTAGATTTTTTTATCGTACATATTCACATGCTACTAAGCGTCTAATATTTGCATGAATTGAATGGCTAGAGAAAATAGTGCTAAATCATAGAGTTAGTGTTATTAAAATACTTTAGAGGAGTTTTTAGTAACTTCAATATCGTAATCATCTTTTAACAATAATTTCCTAGTAAAATTGTCTTCTATACTAGTTTCTAGTTTCAAAGATGTTTGATATCCTTACAAAGAACAGATAGCTTAATCATTGGTTATTACAAACAGATAATACAAGTGAACCGCAAAAATCAAATTAGACACTACAAACATTTTTCCCAATTTATAATATGTTACAGACTTTGAAAGAATTTGTATTCGTTCGAAGACTTTAACAAGTTTGGAATTTGTCAAAATCTATACTTTTAAAGATTTATATTTTCATCATGCATTTAAATAGAGAGTGAAAATTGAAAGACTCTAAGAATTGCTAGGAGTACAGTACTTTGGCGTCAAATTCATAATGAAAACTTTATTTTTTTCAATTTTCGTGCTTTTTTCTCTTTCGCTTTTTTGGTAAGCAATAACTAATGTTTGCTCTTTAATACAACTATGGTTGGTTAAAGGCCGCTTTTAGCTACAATTAATCCTATATCAAAGAGTGACGGCTGCTCATAAATACAGAATATTATTACATCTTGACTTTTTTTATGTCACTATTAAGTGTCTATTAAATTTTTACGGATCTGTTGAATACTCACACATTGTAAGTACTATTTGTCAATAGCGTTTTATTCAATAGTTAGTATTCACTTAGTCACAAGAGAAATGGACGTTGAGTCTGACATGCATAATTATAATTGTACTCATGCTGTTTTTTTTGGACCTGAAACTGGTCGCAAACGGAAGAAAGTAACAACCTCAATTCAAGTCATGGAAAAAGAAAGAAGAACACGGCTAGTGACATAGTCAGATAAAAAAATTACAGAAAGGGCTAAGGCCCTTATTCGTATACCTTTAAAGAAAACTCTAAGCGGTTCTCAACTGTTATTAGAGGAACTCAAAGCTTTCTGAAGAAGACTGAGTACTCTCTACTTCTCGTCTAGATACACTACTAAGCGCCAGCTACACGTAGGCAATAAATGTTAAGGAATACAGCTAAATTAACATAATGGATAGATGAAGCACGCAACTGGTAAAATTCAAGTTACACTTTTTTGGACACATATTTTTGTTTATTCTTCCTACAACAACAATACATTGGTTAGTTGAGATTGTTATACTATTTGATAGCTGATAGTATCCTCTAGTAATCACTCAAGTATGATCACAAAATAATAAATCACCATTGCAGGACAAGCGATTAGTTAGACAGACCCTTCTTATGAATTTGACACCAAAGTACTATAGTTTTATGAAATTACTCTTCTGTACATAGGAAATATCTGACAGAATTTTATTTCCTGTGATAAACTCTTTTCTCTGTTTTTCTATAGAAGAATTTAAAAAAATTTTTCACTGTATGTCTATCTATTGCTGTAGATTCAGTAACTTGAATTTGTATTATTCAGAAATATATCAAACACAATGTACAACCAAGATTTATATTCTGGTGTGGAGCACATTCTAGTATAGAAACTAGCATGAGAGAAAATATCATTTAGCTCAAAGAAATATTAAAACAAATATCGAAAGTTTAATTTTACTTGTTGATGAAGTACTCGTGCTAGATGTTGTTGTTGTTGTCACTGAAGTCGTAGTTGTGACAGACGTTGTACCTGCAAATCCAACTTCATCTTTATTCTGTTTTGAATAGAAAATTTCGTACTTGTGCTAGTTGTTGATGTGCTCGTGGTAGAAGTTGTGGTAGTTGCTGTTGTAGCTGAAAACAATCATTCATAATATGAACTTGACAACGAGAAATAGCTTCTACTCTTAATGGAACAAGTAAAAACGTTATTTAAGCGATAGATTCTATCCTTGCAGATCTACGATACAAAACTAAGGACTCATTTAATATGATTAACTATTGCTGCAATTGAATTATACTGACAGTAAGTAATAAAGAAAATGATCTACGAATCATTAGTGTTATTTATCCAAAAAAGATATATATATATGTTTCATTTTTCTTCAGCAACAAATATTTTTCACTGATAAATCTCCAAATACAGTCTTTGTGTAAGATATTCGAAGACTTTTATTGCGTAGATATCATTTTCATCCACATTTTGTTTTTCTCAACGAAAAGAAACATAAACTGTCAGTCCTTTGAGGAAACTGGAATTAATCCTTTTTTGAAATATCTAGACTGTGACTAGTAAATAAAGAATTAGTCAAGAAGTTGATGATGGTAGCTGCATAGCCTAGTAATGAATGTAGATAAGTGTGTGAGAGTAGATGTCAGACTATGGGTATGAGTGAGTGAATTGATAGATGAACGATATTCCTCTCTTCTCTCTTATTGTAATTTGACATTAAACAGTAGAGAAACTCTTTTATAAATAATATTGATATCGTATGAGTCAGTCCGTTTAGACGTAGATCTTTCAAAAATTGAAATGAGTTTAGTAGCTTCTCTGAGGACTTCAAAAATTCAGGAAAAAGATTGTATGAGCTAGTCTTCGACGCATTTGTAGAGTAACTACTATGCTCAATATTGATTTGTTTTCAGTTTCAATTCAATACGAATTCAATATTGTACACGTGTACAAAATTTATCGTTCATACATTGATTCCTTACTAGTTGTGCTCGTCGTTGTTGTTGTTGTCGCCGTAGTCGTTGTTGTTGTTGTCGCCGTAGTAGCTGTTGTTGTCGTTGCAGTAGTCGCTGTTGTTGATGTACTTGTTGTTGTCGAAGCTGGTGTACTCGTTGATTCTACTTTCATCAAATTGTTCGTGTAACATCAAATGAAATTGCTTTAAAAAACCATACTTAGCAGTAAAGCAAGCACGAGAGCTGTGATTCCACTCATTATGAGAATCGTAGCTATTACCAGCACATATATGCACTGTAGTCTGCAGAAAGCCTTCGTACTGCAAAACGAAAGAACAAAATAGAATGTCTTCTTTGTTGTTTATAAAAAAGTATAACATATAGTTCGGTACCTGGTGACAGTCGAAGAAGAACTTAAGTCTCTATGCAGAACTTGTTGAAACTTTAGAAAATCGACACTAAAGTTAGTTTATGCTATCCATTCCATGTAATGCCTTCTAAGACTAACTCCGGAAATTCGATTATGTCCTAGGATAAGAGGTATAGAGATATATAGGTATAGGCAGTATAGGAGGTATATAAGATATAGGTATGAGTTGTCTAATTCGAGTTCGAAATTAAATAGAGAGTTAAATGATTGTTATAAATTCGAAAATAAATGAAGAAAAATGGTTTCATGTTAAATTAACAAAAGAAGTAAATGATAAATTTTTATATAATTTTTAATTTTATGAATTTTCAAGGCACCCATAGTAAAGTAGCCGAATAAACAAAAGATAAATTTTATATAAATTAGAATTTCTTCAGTGGACACATAGTCATGTTAAAACAGCAAAAGAAAAAGTATGTCAAACTTCAAACTTAAATTCAATAGAACTCTCAAGTATAAACTTAAACTTGATTTCATCAAATTTCAAGTTCGAAATTTCAACTTTCCACTTTCAAGGTTCAAACCGAAAACACTTTGAGAAATCATGACTGTCCCAACCTTACGCACTCAAATCATTGCAGCAAGTGAGAGTGCCGCGAAAGGAGTTCCATCAAACACGACTGACTGAAAGATACACACAATCGCCGCAGGTGTGGATGCAGCTATAGGAGTTACATCATGGACGACTAATAGAGAAGTACATAGAGAGAATCGGTGCAGATGAAGTTGAGGTATGATAGATGTATGAGGTTTTTCACGTAATTTAAAGTTGGAACTTGAAAGTTAAAACTCCAGTTTAAAGTTGAACGTGCCATTTAATATTAGATTCAATGTTGACATTGATAGTTGAAAAGCAACAATGAATTGTGTCTAATATGGTCTCTTTAAATTTCGAAGGGAACAATGTGATATTAGCAAAAGAAGAAAGCTTGTAGTTTCAGAATTTTTATTGCTAAATTGGAATGTATCCGTTTTAAAGTGCGAAAAAGTATCGGTGTTAACTAGTACTGGAGCAGCATGTAAATGATGTCTTTGAAGAGTTTCCGGGAAAGCTCAATTATATACTGACGGAGAAGCAGGAGATATTGCAGTTATTGCAGATATTAGTGAAGTAGTGCAGACATTCTTTATATCGTGTTTGACATTGAATAGTGATCCATTCCGATACACTTATTTAACTGATTAACCCTAGTTCGAAAAAATCCATCGAAATGAATAAGGGTGTGGGTGTGGGTATGGATGTGGGTGTTATCCTTCTATTTAATCACACCCACACCCTTGCCGCCCTCTATCTTGTTTCTATGAAAATTTACATCAAAATTCCGACTTGTAATCATTTTGTCGTTGATAGTATACCTCATATACCTTCTATACCTCTATACCTCCTACCCTAGGACATAATCGAGTTTTCGGGGATATCCTCCGAAGACATGTAATCAATCCATTCCATTCAATTTTCCTATTAGTAGTGATATCTGCTATTTCTGGGCATCTCTCCTAGGATAAAGGATACTTTTTCGTGATGCTTTTGTGCGACTACGGCTGACGAATCATGAAACTTTTGAAAAGATTTACTTGTCTAGGAGACTTGAATTTGCACCCTCGTGTTACGCAGATAGTACTTTCTGTTAGGAGCTAAATATCTTTCACCTACAAATTCGGTAAGTTTCATCTGTTCTAATTCTCTGCAGAGGGAGGTAAACCATTTCTAGTTGGATTTGTGTTTACTTTCTCACCAAAAGTGCTACGACGATCCTGTCATTGAAAAATATTCAATACATATAACATAGTCATTTATTATTGGCAACATACACTGTTCGTCTTTTCTGATTCCTTGAGACGTTTTTATTATCATGCAGAGGACGTATACCAGATGGCGATATTTTATTCTGACCAGTATTGTTTGAACTTTGAGGTGTGTCCTAAAACGAAAGATATTGAGAAGAATTATAAGCCATTTTTTTATTAAGTACTACTGAAAGTCGACTATCAACACTATTGAGATTAACTTTGGATGGGACATCACTTTTGCTAATGTGTTTAGCAGTACTGTTGCTTCCAGTGGACATGCCTCGCGCATTCTTCATTTGGTCATCAGCTGTGATTATATGTTCGCTTGGTTCTACATGATTTTTTCGTATATAACGTGTGGTAATGTATTCAGTTGTTGGATGCCTTCTTTTTTCATTGACTACTAGATCGCTACTAATTTGGGGTGTCAAGAGATAGCGCTTTGACGCACTATTGATGTTAGCTTGATTTTGGACCGTTAAATATTCTTGGTTATTTTTTCGTGTCTCTTTCTTGTCCATGGAGACAAATTCAAGTTCATTTAGATTAGAAGTAATAACATTGAGTTGGTTTTCATTGTGTTTCTGCAGTTGTCTTCCTCTATTATTGTTGTTCTCAACTACAGGAGAACTGGACGAATCGTTTTTCAAAACAGTATTGATGGTAACATGTTCTTGAGCTGTCAAATAGTTATTTTTTGCCTTCAGTGTATCAGTTTTGTAGAAAGTAGACTGGAGTTCAGTTGCATTTACACGATTAACTCGAATATTGTTTTGAGTTGACTGCCGTACTTCTTCCTGTAGAATTTCTTTGTTCTTATTGGTAGTTAACGTCAATAGATCATCTTTAGAGGCGTGATCAACAATAACATGACCATGCGCCGTTAAATACTCTTGAGTCTTCTTTTGTTCATCTTCTCTGTAGATAGAAGAAAATTCAAGCCCGCCTGGATTAATATGAGTGATACCGATTTGGTTTCCAGTGAGATTTTCAGTAGCACCGCTTTGACCTATCAAATACTCCCTTTTTCCTTTCCATATGTTTCTTTCGTATAACTCAGATTGAACCTCAATTTGATTTATATGAGTGACTTGAATATTGTTTTGAGTGAGCTGCTGTCCTTCTTTCTGTAAGACCTGATTGGATTTGTTGGTGGTTAACGTCGAAAGATCATCTTTAGAAGGATGATCAACATTAACGTGGCCATGTATCGATAGGTACTCTTGATTCTTCTTTCGTGCATCTTCTTTGTAAATAGAGGAAAACTCAAGTCTTTTTGGATTAATATGCGTGACATTGACTTGAATTTCACTAGGTTGGTGCGGTTCTTTTCCTCTACTATTAGTGCTTTCGATTATGGAAGATATGGAAGTGTTCTTTTTCGCTCCACTAGTCACGGTTACATGACCTTGGGCTGTCAAATAATCATTACTTTTTTTTTGTGCGTCAATGTTGTGAAGAGAAGGTGGAAGATCCATTTTTTCGATATGACTGATTCGAATGTTATTTTTAGTGGGCTTCTGAGCTTCTGTTTGTATTTTCGGATTGTTGCGTCCGTCAGAAATAATCAGAAGATCATCCTTTGAAACATCAGCTACATTAATATCGTGCTGAGGAGTCAAATACTCTTGATTCTTCTTTTGTCTCTCTGCATTATGGACAGAGGAAAGTTGAAGTTCATCTGGATTAATTGGAATGGCACTGACTTTGTTCTCAGTGGGTTGTTGTAGTTTTCTTTTATTATTATTGTTGCTCTTGAGCAAAGGAGAAACGGAAGGGCCTTTTTTCGCATCACTATTCACAGTAACATGTCCTTGAGCTGTCAAATAATCACTTTTTCTCTTCCGTTCGTCAATCGTACGTGGTGAAGGCTGAATTTCAGTTTGACTTAGATGACTGACTCGAATGTTATTTTGAGTAGACTTCGGTGCTTCTTTCTGTATTTTCGAACTATAGTTGTTGCTAGCAATGATCGGAAGATTATCTTTTGGAACATGAACAACATTGGCATGGTCTTGTGCAGTCAAATAATCATGTATTTGCTTACGGCTTTCGGTTTCGTTTGAGCTAATATGCGTAATATCGTCCTGACTCTGTCTGGTTTTTCGTGCTTCTCTCTCATCTATTTCAATGGAATCACTGCTCCAAGAGGTCGAGGTATCATTAATGGAGAGACGATCGACTGTGACATGACCATGCGCAGTCAGATAATCTTTAGTTCTCTTCCATTTTCGTCTTCGATTATTCTGAGGCTGAAGCGTAATTTGACTAATACGAGTAACATTAACGTTATTCATCGGATTAGCATCTAGTATTACTACTTCGTGACCAGAATTGGTACTGATTTCAGTTGATAACAATTGATTTTGTCGTTGTGATTCAATTAGAGTTCTGAAAAATGAAATAAAACTTCACGACAAACTTATTTTATTTTGTGCGTTGTTAAAAAAATTTGCATTCAATCGTCGACGTTTTTTCTGGTCTCTGAATCAGTATTCTCTTCTATTGCTACAAATATGGATTCTCTGTCATAATTGAAATAAATAAAAAAAAGGACAAGTAATTAAAACAAAGAATCATCGCTTACATGCTCGAGAAAAAAAAATAGCTGAAAGAGGCCTACTCAACGCTTTCTTAATCTTATATTGCAAACATACAATTCATATAGTTACTTCAGTGTAGGCTGCATTTGCATTGAATAATAATGAATACTTCAGATGAATAAATGTAAAGAATAGAAATTAGTTTGTTGTGCTGCGTTTTAAGTTGATTTTTTTTTCTGGAAGAGGTACTCGGTCTGACAAAGGATGAATGTAGAGCATATTTTAATGTTGTTTTCTTTCTTAATTAAATTTAAAGATATACAAACAAGACTTCAGACTTAATTTCCTGCTTGGATCAGTCAAATATACATATATTGATTAATATTTCGATTGAACTTTCAGACTAAC